AATTATTTATAAAAATGTTATATTTAAAAATATTTATATATTACAGTCAATAATCGTAATTAATGATTATTGATCGAGAGTGATATACATATAGTATATTGGCAATCCAAAGAGTTGAGTTTAACGTAAGCATGAATGGACCAATTTATACTCATTAGTACACGATAAATAATGAAAAGAAAGGTTAGAAATAATGAAAGAAAAGGCCGCTGTGCATTACGTTTGTCGAGTGGTTACTGCTAGCGTCGTCACACGTACAGTAGATGATTCACAATAAAACACGAGATGACGTTACCGTAATCCTACGCCAGCGTGGTTTACGATTATGAGCGGCAGGTGATAACGTAATAATAGCAACTAGAGAGCCTCGACCGTACAGAGGTAGTTATTGAAGCTGCTGTATTCCATTCTAGTTACGACGATTCGTTTTTTTTTCCCATCATTCTGTATATCATGAATCATAACAAAGAATTGTACAAATGCTAATTTTCACGTTATTAATGATCGATCGCAACATTTTCGATACCTTTATATCAAGTATATAAATGGTGCGAGGAGCGATCAAATCTTCGCAGATCTTTACAAATAGTTTTACGATGATGTTTGTTTATTTTGAATTTTGTGCGAATCAAAGAAAAAAATGTGCATTTGGTTTTTTGATCTTTTAGTACCATTTTTGTATTATTATTATTTTAGATATATTTTGCGTACTATCGTCATAATATATATATTATTATATTATTATAACGTTATTAATTTGTATCATGATTATTGATGTTTACGAATGAGAATTCTGCAGTTTACATGATCTTAAATGTGTGTTTACTTCCTTTATTTCCCCTCTCCTCTATATAAATAATTATTCGTGCATTTGAAGATTCTACGACAACGCAATTGTATCGGTAAAAAGAGACGAGTTGCTTCTACGTCGCGAAAAAAAAAAAAGAAGCGTTTCTGACGCTTTACTGGTGAACCGTGAAACGTTGCGTGACCATGGATTTCGTGGAAACTGTCCATGTTTTGTACGGCACACGCGTCACCGAGCACAAATCGTTTCGCACGCTTGCAGCCGGTATTGTCCGGCAAAACAAACGATGCTTCTGACGTAATCGCCTGACCAAATAAGCGGAAAATAGGTAGTAGTCAGCCATCCTCACTACTCTTTGGTCTTGTACTGCCGCCGCTTAAAGAGAAGTTGCGGTGTAGGTAAATGGTACAGACAAATGATTTTCAATCAGCTGTCGATAATGTAGTACGTTGATAAAAGAATCGGAAACTAAAGATTATTTAATCGCTTTGTCCTCTTACCTGCGTTGACGCGTAAGCAAAACATTTAATAACATTGACGTTAGTTTAACGATATCTGGACTTGGTTTATTTAATTTTCTAATAGAATATATTTTAATGAATGAGTTTCGCAAAAGGAAATGGGTATGGTGTGTAAGGGAGAAATGAATAGACTGTAAAATGCTGTAAACCAATACTGGTATATTGTAACCTTTTTTAAAATACATTTTGTACAGTGTTATCTTCCAATAAATAATTCCATTTCTTCGTTTCTCCTGATGTTCAAGTTCTTTCCTCGATTCCTGTGGTGGCCTGAAAGTTCCATTTCTAATTAACACAAAAAAAGAAACATTAATTTTCAAATGTTAAATAAATGTTATAAACAATTTCCAACTAATTTACTGCATGCAATTGTTAATTCAATACGAAATTAATAAATTAAGCTAGTTTATTAAGTTAAAGCATAGAACAATTTTAATAATTGCAAGACTATCATCTACATTGTTACATAACAAGGACCACTACAGTTAAGTACTACAGTTAAAGTACTTAAAAATGAAGTAAATAAATTAATAAATTAAGCTGCTTTAGTGCATTCTCGACGCAGTTTTCGAAATTTTTCGGTCGAATTTCGGGATTCGTCTGGACTTGGAGAATTTTTGTATGTTTGAGATGTAATTGACTTACACTACTTGCTGATTCCGAAAAAATTTCGAGCATCTAATTGCAAGATGTGGTTGACTGCTTATCGACTTCGAAAAATTTTCGGAATCGGAGCAAGTGCTGAAAATCAACCATTTGTCAGAAGCTCGAATTTTTTGAAATTTAAGTAGCATAAGTCAACTGTTTCTCAGACGCTCGAAATTTTTCGGAATCAGCGAATAGCATTAGACAAACACTTTAATTTTCGAGAATTTAAACTCGCGATAATTAATTTACATTATTGAGGCTATTTTCGCGCAAGTTTCCAAGTTCGACGCTCGAATTTCTGGATTTTAGCGATCTTTTCAATTTTGACGCGTCCCTAACGTTATCTGAACTTGGTTTATTTAATTTTATAATAGAATATTGTTTAAAGAATGAGTGTCTTGCAGAAGAAATTCAATGTGGTGTGTATGCGAGAAATAAATAGGCTACAAAAAGCTGTAAAACAATAATGGTATATTGTCACCTTTTGTAAAATACATTTTGTACAGTTATCTTACAATAAATAATTGATTTTTTGATGAATAACTTTATTTCTTCGTTTTTCCTCATGTTCTCAAGTCTTTTCCTTGATTGCTGTGCTGGCCTGAAAGTTTAATTTCTAATTTACACAAAAAGAACATTTATTTTCAAAGGTTAAGTAAAAATTAACAATTTTTAACTAATCTACTGCGTGCAATTGTTCATTTATTGCGAAATTAATAAATTAAACTGTTCTATCAAGTTAATTCATGCGGCAAACTTATTTAATACTTCCAATAGTTATGTAAACTACCATCTACATTGTTATTTAACAAGGAACACTAATTATTCTATAATTAAGGTATTCGAAAATAAACCGGAAACTTTATTTTACTATCTACATTATTAGTAATGTTAAATCAATTAAAACTTGATTATAAGTATGAATTTTAAACTGTTTACTAGGTGCAATTATTGTTCTAATTAACAATAAATATTATTAAAAGTGAAAAATTCGAAGAATTTCTATTTGAAAAATCAACTAACCTGAAAATGCTTCATTTTAGACGATGATCTCGATGATACTCTCGATCCTTCCTCCTATCGTGATTGACGGACTATCAGCGAAGACGTAAGAGTAAATGTGATAGCCTCATTCTATCACTGTTGGCTATTTAATAGCGAGACGTCACAACTTCACCTACATCTCCAACTTCTAAGCCCTAAAGCCCGTACGAAGCCTCAAGTTTGCTTTGCCGGACAATAGAAGCAATCTTGTCGCTGCTTTTTGATGATTAATCATCAAAAATCATCGTGGTTAGAGTGAAATTTTCTACGACAATTCAATATCAGAGTTTTGATCGTGTAAAGACTAAATGTAATTTCTTTCTTTCCTCATTCGACGTGAGAAAAATAAGTTTTCATTTTAGATGTACATATTATATACATTGTTTCAGCAGTCGTGGATATTTATTCCATTTTATAACCAATACTTGCACCTTTTCCGTGATAGCTTATTAGGTAAGTAGGTCATCCATTGTATTCGTTACGACGGTTTGCTCGAATAATCGCTCGTGCACGCATGGATAGTGGCGACGAATTTGTCATAAAGAATATACACAACGAATTATGCGGTGTCAACTAACTTTGTAAACCGAGAGTACATTACACCATACTGGTAAAAATACGAATATCGAAGTTGTAACGAAGAGCTCGCAATAGGCGAGACATGCAAAAGCATTAACCTTATCTCTCTGCATCACTGTGTCAGTGGGTAAACCGTGACGTAGTGCGAGTATTGTTCGTAAAACCAAGAATTGGTCCATGCAACAAAGGCAACAATTAGCTTCGTGCCGGAATCGGAACATTCCCCGGTGTGTCACGAAATAACGACGCAGCCTGAATGTACATAAACGTGTAGTCGCGTTAAAAATCGTTCAATAGTGGCCGAGCCAGCGTATAGGAACGTAGTCATGCCGCGGTTCTTCGCATTAGCTTGCGTCGCCACGATTCTCTTGATGATGTTTCAAGTAGCTTCGTTGGAGGAACCAATTGAAAGGGTGGCTAGAAGCCCGGATAGTGCATTTCACAGGGAATCGTCGCCTTTATTTCTTTTCCATTTATTCAAACTGAAAAAGAAGATTCAAACGATTGAAAAAGTGGTAACTACGCCAACCACAGCGGACTGTATTTGTGTGCCGTACTATTTGTGCGATTCTAATCGTACGGTCATTACCGATGACATTGGAATGATCGATATTAGGTGAGTGATTTTAGTACGATTTTAGTATCGTTTCGTAAATTACGATGGAAACGGAATTGTACTATAAATAAAGTATAATTTGAACTCAATACCAACTGGAAAAAGCCAGGAAGCAGAAAGGGGTAAAGGGTTGACATAGTTTCTAATTTTGAATCAGGTATCGAAGATGCACCGGAGATCTAGAAGTATGCTGCCGGCCACGAAACGCGACAACTACTACTACCACAACTACCACTAAAGCCACAACGACAACTATGAAAACCACCCCAACTACAACTACGACGGCTAAGCCAACTACGACGACCACTTCAACTCTTCCACCGGTGATCTTTCCAAACACAGAGCAAACTACTGTAGTTTGTGTGTGCGTACTCGTATCACAATGCGATCCGAACGGAATCGTCGGTTCGTCGGGTGAAGGCGTGATCAATCCCCGTTTGCAATACGTCTCCCAGTGTCAGAGCAGTGAGACAGTGTGCTGCAGGCCATCAAGCGTGATTCAATACACCTATAACCCGCCAGTTACCACCCAGCAAGTTTGTACGCTCTGTGGAAACACCATTCAGTGCAGCAATGGTGTTGTAGTCCCTGTCAACGTAGGAGTGGTGAACCCTGCGGTGACTTACGGTCAACAAACATGCCCTGTGCCTACCACCTGCTGTCAAGGGTTGAATCCATTGTACGGAAACGGGATTCCAGTAGTGATTGGCCCTATAAGGAACTCTGGTACATCTCAGGCGTGTTATTGTATGAAAAGTTGGCTTTGCACACCGGGCAACTCGGTTACCTCTAATGGGGCTGGCGCCATCGATCCAAGGTTTTCTGCTTGTGGAACTGCAGATCAGGTTTGCTGTAGGGCTACCACGATTAGTGCACGGAGTAGCGGAGATCTGCAGGGGCGTGGAGAGAGTATAGTGAACGGAGAGGCTTCGTTTTCTCTGCCTGGATGCGGCGTTCAGAATAAAACGTACGCGCCAGGTATATGTTGGAAACGATTCTACATCTATCCCTCGAGATTTACAGGGGTTACCGTAAAAAGTGAAAGCTTCGTTGAAAACGAAATTTTACATTTTTCGACCGTGCAATTCGAAGATTAGGTATAACTGACTTGAATTCTCTTACTGACACTGCGTTTTTTCCATAGTACAATCCCCTCCTGTGGACACCGGGAAAACTTATTTTGCAGAGTTTCCGTGGATGGTAGGGCTTCTAACGGTACAAGCGGATGGCCAATTTCTATTCCAGTGCGGTGGATCCATGATCACCAATAATGCCGTTCTCACTGCCGCCCATTGTGTCACAAAGTAAGCAGATACTTATGGTAATACAAATTTTTTATATATCGAGGTTAATCACGACTTTGTTAAAAAATTTACCAGCCGAGACAATGGAAGACTGATAGCTCGTTTTGGCCAATGGGACTTGGAAAGCCAACCGGGTGGCCAACTACTGCCCTTTCAAGACGCGAACGTAAAGGCCATAGTGACCCATCCCTTGTTTTACAGCGGTGCACTGTTCAATGACATAGCTGTGGTCATACTGAATACTCCCGTTAAACAGAATGTTAACGTCGCTCCCATTTGCATACCGCAACAGGGATTAACTTTTCCTGTTGGTACCAGGTGCATTGGCACTGGCTGGGGAAAGAATTCGTTTGGTATGATTCCTTTCCTCCACTTCAAACAACCGTCATTTTACTCTCTTTTTATAATCATTGAACTTTCATGTTCTGCCAGGTGGAACGTATCAGACAGAGCTACGAAAAGTGGAGCTTCCAATCGTGGCCGGAGCTGATTGTCAAAACCGACTGCGAACCACAAGATTAGGTCCATATTTTCAGTTGCATAGTTCGTTCACTTGTGCAGGTGGTGAAGCAAATAGAGACACGTGCCGTGGGGACGGTGGCGGACCTTTAGCCTGTCCAACGGCAACTGGACAATACTTTCAGGTAAATGGATTAGTAGAAAAAGTTTCATGAAAATACGGTGTGATTATAGGATATTTCTTTTAGGCTGGTATAGTGTCTTGGGGAATTGGTTGTGGCTCTTCGAATATTCCCGCTGTTTACACTAACGTTGCGCAGTACACGCAATGGATCGAACAACAATTGGCGACTTACGCGGCGTAACGGAAGATATATGTGTTCGAACATTTTAATAAATTGTTTTACCTAGTCGATTTTGTTAATTTATGATTGCACGTTCTTGTGCAATTTGATATGTGGATTTGTATAACGATATTAAGTATATAATAAACATGTTTGCTTTTACGGAACTAATAAAGGAAAAAATAGCACTTCTTTGTCAAGTCTTCCAATAGCCGTGATCGTCTAGTGGTTAGGACCCTACGTTGTGGCCGTAGTAACCCAGGTTCGAATCCTGGTCACGGCAAGTCGGTTGTTTCGCACTCTGTCGTGATGGAGGTGTATCTTTTTTTTTCTCTGTTTTTATAGTATTTCAAATGCTTGCTCTTCCATATTACATTCTAAGTCGATTTTTCGCATTGCAATAATTTTTGATCATTTATAAAATAGAAAATGTTAAGGTCTTTATCTTCGTAACCTGCAAACTGGAATTGTCCTTTTACAAAAAAATATTGTGTAGGATATATTATAGTGAGAAACATATCTGATTGTAATCTTGGTACAGTAGTAGCTACACGGTGCACACTGTTACAGTATTTTTTACAGTATTTGTGCATTCAATTTGCATGTCGTACAACGCGATAGGATCTCACGATGTGAACTATCATAAAATATGTATGCGTCGTTAATCACCATTAACTGACACGTACCTTTCTGACCCATTTCGTGCATCTATTTTTTCATTTTCAACATTCATCTAAATTGTTGCCCCAATACATCTAGCGTAAACCAGACAGAATATATTCGAAATGGCAAGGAACTGGTACAATGATAAATAATTTTTTGTTACGAAACATATTCCTATTCCAGGAAATAAAAGACGAGAATTGGCAGAGGCGATACTTGACCTTAGCATACTCTACGGACGTACAGTTGAATTCCAGGCACGTTTAACCTGATCAGTGACTAAAATTAAATTGAGCTACAAAGTTCTTGAAATAACTAAAAAGTTAGCGACCTTTCACCACTTTACATTCATTCACAAATAGAGTAATTGAAATTCAGAGAAATGCAAATGTGTTGCTAATATGTAAAACTTGATCCTTGAAAATTTTCTCGAATTGGAGTTCACTTTTATTCTAGATATCTGTTAAAATCATCATCGATTCACGTATAAGCGTTTCTTTCCCCCGTAAAGTTCCCCAACTAAACTGTCTCGCAATTTCACAGAAAATGGAAGGTTCGCGTGAGCGAAAAGGGAATTCTGCTCGTTCCGAAGAAGCTTCTGAGAAATCTGTATCAGTCCTATGGTCGCCTCGCATGGGGAATACCACCTGTTCCGAGGCTACCGTGTCCAACGGGTTAAACACGTAGTCGGCCGTTCACGACCACGATCGAGAATCGAGGAATCACGATGATTGGTGGGGACGATCTCATAAATGCTTGAACCACGGCTGCTATGTGTGTAAACGTAGAAATCACGGTCTCCACGCCTGGCACGCCGCAATCGTGCGTTGTTCTTTGAAGAGGAAACTGGTCTTCCGTTTATAATCAGGATCGAATTACAGTAAGTACTTCTTTATTTCGCGTTCCTTCGTAGAAAATCCTGCGAATTAACTAATTATCGATACGTATAAAAAGTACAGAGGTAACACGACCTTCGGTCTTATTTTCATGTAGAAATGGAACGTGGCCTTTTGAACTTTTGACAAACTGTAGATATTGACATGCGTCAGAGTGTTTACGTGAGACGAAACGATTCTGACCGAAGAATTGTGCGTCGGTAGAATTCTAAGAGGCCTTCAGAAAATACACACCGGCTGGCTCTCTCGACATGTAATATTTATCACGATTCAAATATTTTTAAGTCGCTCGAGGACCTGTGAGTGCACCGTCGACTATTAATTTGACGGTTCTTCCAAACAAAATACGTTACTATTCGTTCGTTCGTTTAGCCTTCGCTTTTATTTAACGAAGATCGTTATAACGGAATTCGAGAATATATATCACTGTTTATAATAGTTTTTAGTAACCAATTTCGTAATCGCGGCGACAAGCCTTCTAAAAAAAGTCAATGCGGATAGAGTGAAAACGCAAGGATAGTAATAGATAATTTGCTTATGTATTTTTTCTTTATCGCTTTGAGCACTTTGCTCCTTGATCATTTTTTCTCCACCACATTTCTTTCGCTACGATTGCAATAAATCACGGCGGAAATTCCGAACAGGAAAATACTACTATCGGGGGCACACAGATCGACATTAGCTGTAATCTCGGATTATTTAAAACTCCATTCAACCACAAGTGTATCCTTGGTTTTCATGTGTATTTTTCGTTCCGCGACATTTTACGCTTCGATTGAGGAATGCGCGATTAGCTAGGTTTGTTAGAAGTTTACACTACTTCTCTAAACAGAACGTCTTACAGATATTGAATATTCATTAATGAAAAAAAAAGGAATGAAAAACAGCTTTCTGGGAAGATGGGCGAGGTTCCACCAAATCCATCAAGTTACACAGTAATTACCTTTATTCCCGTCGCAATCATTTACCTCCTCGATCTCTAATTAAGCCAGATTTTCCTGTTTATACTATACGTCCACCTTGAACCATTAACATGCAGACACCTTGAAAGCATTAGAGAGAATTAACATAAAACCGAGTGGAGAGTCACAGTCATATTGTTGGGTCGTTGGAGGTTGAATCTAGCTGGCAGGTAAATTTTTACGATATCTTCTTTTATACGTAATATCTTATATTTCCATTTTTCGTACTGTCGTCTTCGTTGTCGGAGTGGGTCAGACATTTCTCCCATCATCAGGTTTTCATTCACGAGACCGTGAGGTCATCGTTATTTACATGCGAAAAAAAAAACTAAGAACCGCTGATAATCCATCCGATGATATCCCGCGACGCTCTCCGCGTATACTCACCTTGAGATGCTCGTTAAAATCTCGATTTCTTCATTTTGTCGAATGCAAGTTCATGAATGTAGCGCTCTGTGCCTGCTCGGCAAGTTTTCTCGCATGAAAATAATCGCTGGATATGTTCGAATCGCACCTGTTGCCAAGGTAAGGTACACTTTAGACTAGTTCAAGTTCGAAGCACAACGATGAAAAATTATTTATGTTAGTGTATTTAATAAAATTATTTATGAAATATATGAGAGTGAAGGTGTTAAGAAACTCCTTTCAAGTACGTATTGATTAATTCTTAACGAAACGAGTCACACCATTGACGAACAAGTGTTTCTCGTGCTTTGCACCTCTGCCTTTCGAAATTCAAAAGAACCACTTTAACGCCGTTCCAGGACCTCCAGCATCATAATGTGGAGAATTCTATTAACATTGGCGTTGGCCAGCTATTCATTGGGTGCTCCTCAGCAAGGGGATGGCAAAATCGACGACTTGATATCGAGTATCTTTGGGTCAGGCCCTCAAACCACTCAAACAAGCCAACCCACTCTTCAAACCGCTCCGGACCCAGTTACACAACAGAATTTTAGCGGCAACTTGGATTCCTTGATCGACAATGTGTTCGGCGGTCCACAATCCGCCACTACTCCAGTCACCATTTTAGGGACACAGAACAGACCGGACAAACCTGCAGAGGACTGTGAATGCGTGAAATATTATCTGTGTCGTGACGGGACCATTTTGGAGAACGGATTAGGAGTGATTGATATCAGGTCTGATCTTGGTGACGATAATAAAATATTGGGGTGAGTTCCAAAGACTGGTCTCGAAAATAGCCAAAACTGGCAATGCTGAACGACTGGAATGATGTTGGGTTTTATATATGTATATTGATGTATCGATATACTATACGTATGTATGTACGTACACCAATGTGTCAGCTCGTTCCTTTTATCCAACGTGTTCGTTCATTGTACAATGTGTACATATAAGGAGCAAACACAGAGATTTCTGGTGGGTTTTATTTGTCATGATTCTTTCGCAAGTCAGGTTATGTGGTAGATCGTGCATGCATGTCGCATAGGACTATCTTTGGACACACTCCCCGATTATTTCCTCGTCCAAGCACTTTGTGTCTTAATACATTGCTGACTAAGTTACTTACACATAAACGAGGAAAGTTATAGATTCGCAAGAAAGTGTCTGAAATAAATAATAATATGATAGTTACTTACACATAAACGAGGAAAGTTATAGATTCGCAAGAAAGTGTCTGAAATAAATAATAAGGCAATGCAAAACAGTAGGCAATGTGTTAAAACTGTGCTCTATATTTACACGTAGTAACATACCGATTCTAAAGAACTTAGACAATAACAGTATATCTGACTTATTTTTGCGTTTCTAATCAACGGTATAGAGGGTCTACATGTCCAGATTACTTGGAGGTCTGCTGCAAAGCGCCAAACAGAACAGACATAAAACAGACACCACCGCCAATTAAGAGAAACGGCTGTGGTCAACGACACGCCGATGGTGTTGGTTTTAGAATTACCGGTGACAGCAACAATGAAGCCCAATTCGGTGAATTCCCGTGGATGGTAGCTATCCTGAAGGAAGAAACTTTTGGCGAGAGCAAAGAGAAATTGAACATCTATCAATGCGGAGGCTCTTTGATTCACGCGCAGGCCGTTTTAACCGCAGCTCACTGCGTGCAAGGGTAAATGGCCTCTTCTGTTAATTTTATTACTCTTCTTTTTTCATTTCAATCAATTGTTAAGAATGAATTTTCGAACAGGAAACAAGCGTCAGAATTGAGAGTTCGTGCTGGAGAATGGGACACACAGACCAAGAATGAAATCTTCCCACACCAGGATCGTACTATACGGAATGTGGTAATACACGAGAAGTATTATGCCGGAGCTCTTTTCAACGATTTCGCCTTACTGATCTTGTCGGAGCCGATGAATTTAATGGAGAACGTGGACATTGCTTGCCTTCCAGAGAGAAACGCTGTCTTCGATGGCTCTCGATGCTTCGCCAGTGGTTGGGGTAAAAACGTGTTCGGTAAGCATATTCATTTCGAGGCTAATCAAATGTTCACTTAATGCACCTTAACGGTGTTCTAAGACTGCGACGTTGCAATTGTTTTAGGGCAAAAGGGTCATTACCAGGTAATCTTGAAGAAGGTAGAATTGCCAGTGGTGCCACGTGATCAATGTCAGGAGAGTTTACGGAAAACTAGATTAGGAAAGTACTTCGTTCTCCATGAGACTTTCATGTGCGCTGGTGGAGAGGCTAAAATAGATACTTGCAAGGTATTTAATGAGAAGAGAAATCATTAAAGGGATAGCTTTAAAGGTTGAGTATCTTTGATCATATTTTCATACAACGTGATTTTTCATTAGGGTGACGGAGGAAGTCCTCTTGTTTGTCCACTGAAAAACAATCCAGGGACGTACCTACAAGCAGGCATCGTGGCATGGGGAATCGGTTGTGGCGAAGATGGTACTCCAGGTGTTTACGCGAACGTAGCCACAGCGCGAGATTGGATCGACGAGCAAATGGCATTCTATAATTTGGACAACACTGTGTATAATCCTCTATAGACTGACTGGTTTTCTGAACTATTTCGTAAATTTTCACGCATTCCAATTACCACTGTTTTCTCATCGAAATACTGTTGTATTATTTGTATTTTACTTTCAAACTAATAAAGCGCGCGAAGCCATTACTTGATCCTTGAATTTTCTTTTTCTTCTTTTCTTTTAATAGGTAGTTTTCCCTTTCCTTAGTATTTTTAAAGCATGTGGGGTTAAAGGGACAAACAAATTAACCATGATGCTAAATGGCGATGGCTGTAAAATGAAATTTAGTCGAAGACTTGCATGAACACAGGGTTCGCACGTGTTTAGCAAATGAATCGTTTTATGGCCCCTCTACTTAAATGATTCTTTCCAAACACCCTATAGGAATGGTGCAGTCCATTGTGTTTCTGAAACCTTTAATTTAAAAAGATGTGCCTGCTCTTCGAAAACAGCCAGTCGCGCTAGGTACGTTTATATTATAGCTTCTCTACAGAGCTGCAATTTTCTTGATCTTAACATTCCATACTGTTGTCAGTATTATTTCTGCCCATATGAAGTTGAAGTTTCGTAGGAAATATAAGTGCTTCCGATATAATGTACTAGGATCGATATATCGATAGTTGTTTAGCATCCGGCTACTCGCCGTCATACTTGAATATTTTCGCGGTGCACGCCTACGTAAGTGATATTGTGTACACGTACATACAATTTTTGTGCAAATTAAATCGTACACAGTGTTAGACTTTTGTTTTTCGGCGAAAAGATAGATTCAGCTTATTCAACTGTACGTAATTGAAACAACGCAGCAACGGTAAGAATAATCATACTTTGTGCACGTAACTTGTGTGTTATTTGTTTCATTAAACACGTGCTATTTAGAAAAGTATAGTGTGGTAGAATTTTCGTGCTGTTTTTTATCTGTGCCACCAAGGTATTATCTGTTTTAATATATGTAAGTAATATAATACATCCGATAATTTATAATACTATTTGAAAAATTAAAATGGAAAGAGATAGGTATTATCAAAGAGAAAAATATGATACATGCGCTAGAAAATTGGACTCAAATGTTATTAAAAATATCTGCAATGACATAAGCATGTTAACAGAAGAGAAAAATGAAGCAGATAAATATAAAAAAATATTAGGTTTAAAGAAACCTATTGTTGTTTTGAAGAATTGTTTAATGTCAGACAATGTATTAGATGTATCGTTGAAGTACAGTAACTTACTAACATATAGAATTCCTAATATTAAATTGGAAAGTTCAAATAATGAAATAGATATAACTAGTGTAAATTGCAAAAGTAGTTCAATCAGGAATTCACATTTGTTAGATATGTCCAGCAAAGATTCCGAAACAAGGAAATTACAATTAATGAGACAATATCAAATGCAAACAAGGTCAAGGAGCAAAAATAAAAGTAGCGAAGTAATTCAAAATAATCTTATCACACCATACTTGAGTATTGATTCAAAAATAGAAAAAAGTAAAGATAGAGGCACATTTTTCAAAAGGCAAACTCCTATAACAATTAAGGATGACAGCAATTGTAATGAAGAATACAGTAAGTTTTTTCTTTATCTCTTTTTATGTTATGCTTCTTTTTTGTGAACATCTTTTAATTTCATTTGTTTTTTAATATTTTAACAGCTCAAATTATGAAAGATAAAGCATTAAAAGATGGCAAAAGATTAAAAATTTGTTTAGAGAGGATTGTGCAGTATGATCAAAATTCAAATATAATAGAAACATGTAGTGAATTGAAAGCTTTGTGTAAAAATGAAAATGTGTTAGGTATTGAGAACAATGATGAAAACATTGAATTTCCATACGTTCCTATTCATTCAGAAGAAATTATACAAAATAAAACTAACACGATAAGTGATATAATATACGTTGAAAATACAAATTTAGATGAGAATAAAAATTTATTCATTCAAAAACGAAAGATTATCAACCAAGACAGTGAAACTACAAAAAAAATCAAATTAAATACACATTTGTTTCAAAATAATGAAGACAATTGTGAGAAAATTAATATATGTGATAGCGAAAGAAATATTGCTTTTAAATCAAACAGTGACAAAACAACACAACCAAAGAGCAATGAAACTAATTTAAATTTCATAAAGCAGTCAAAAATTGAAAATTTGTGCAATATTAAGCAAAATCAGTCTTTTCTTTCAGACAAGAACAATTTTAACGAAGAACAAACAGATGTTGAAGATGATGATACTGATTGTATTTCTTTATTTGCAGATTCAACACTCATAGAGGAGTAAGTAATTATAATTTTTTAAAAATGTTTCTTAATAAAGTTATTGGAATTTATTAAGTACTATACAAATATCTACAAAAAAATTTTATGTTATTACTTATTTTTAATATTTAGAAATTGTATTTTTGCAGATATGAGTTACCTTCTGTACATAATTCTTTATACACAGAACAGTCATACCATATGGTTAATGATGTATTTGACAATTATTACAGAACTAATGCATCTGAATTTAACAAAATATATACTAACAATGTTAATAATACTGAAATGAATATTTCAAAGGAAATTAAAACAATTTCAGAGTCGAAACAACCTGCCCTGATTATTCTCGATAATATAAAGACTCCAAAAAAAAAGAAGACAGTAAATTCTCCACAGCTAGGTATATTTGCAAATATTTTTCAAGGCTACTGTTTTTCAACTATCAAGACTGGCAGGTGTAATAATAAAAACTGTCCTTTCAATCATGATGTATGTATATAATTGCAATTTTTCCTATATTCTCTAAATTGTACTTTTCTACATATTTCTTAAAATATATATTTATTTTGCAGTTTATGTCAATTATGATTCGATTTTATTTCACCAATGAGCAATACTATTTCAGTATACTGGATAAATTGGTATTGCAGAATTTAACAAATTTTATATACATAATTTTTCATCCACCGTTACTGTACGTATCTAGTAACTCTGATATGAATTGCACACTAAAAACAGTTAAAAAATTGTACGAGTTGCAAATTAGAAATGACAAAGGAATAATTGAAATGATTGAATTGTTGCATAAAGATAAGATTCCTATAAAATGTATTATTGATCAACTGGTAACCATTGTAAACGATTCGGACTTTGAATTTGTGAATTGGATTTTAAAAATATTAAAGAATTATATTGTGCATGGTGAATATTGGGATACATTGAAGAGTTTATTGCTAAAAATAGAAAATTTAGAACCAGAAATTGTGGAAATTATTTTACAAGAATGTGTAACCACGCAAAAATATATTCATGATGTAAATGTAAATATTATGCGTAAACTCGCTAATCAAACTCGTTCTCAAATAAATCAAAAATTATTGTCATCCTTCAAAAATTTCATCAAGTGTAGTACAGGAAACAGCTTAAGTGCAAAAGAACATTTTCCCACATCAACTACCTACAACATTAAATCACCGGAACATTTGTCTACAGTAAGAGAATCAGAGACTGAATTAAATATAGATGAATATACGAAAATACTTAATACAAGAAATATGGTTTGGCAAAGAAACAAAAAATGTATCAGTAGTAATAACAATTTACAAAATAAAAATTCTAATTTTACATTACATGAAATAGGTAAATAGTTACATTTTTTCCACATAATTTTTATGCCTTTCCAGATGTAATATTATCTGCATTATTTTATGTAATATTTAGATGAATTGTTTGAACCACATTCTGCACATGGAAGAGCAAAATTTTGGAAATTTTATATAGATGTCTACAGACTTCAGAAAGGACTTGAACATAATGATTACGATTATGTCATACATATTCTTAATTCAGCAAAAGAACATCAGCGATCATTTTTCAGTCGTGCATGTTATCAAATTCTATGCAACGAAATAAAATATTCTCAGTATCGTCTAAGTAAGCTTATTTCACATACAGGTAATATATAATTTAGTGACACTTTATATTTTTTTCGTGGAAAAATGTATATATATATATATGTACCTTTTCTTTTTATATTTAAATTTTAACATTCTCGCGTTTAATGTTAAGTTTTACAGAAAAGACAATAGAATTTATTAAAATCAGTTTTTTTCATTAATTTGTGTAGATTATGTGCAGTATGTTCTGTTTACCTCAGAACGCGGAAGTATCTCGAAAACTACGAATGATCCAAAAAAATATTTCAGATAAACGTTGTAGAGTATACAGGGCGACATATTGTTCTAGCATTTCTTTTGACCTCGAAATGACCTTGAAAAGCCCTGTAAAGGTCATGTTTAAGTTTTTTAATGGAAAAGTATATTTTTGATTATGTATTCTTGTAGCTGACATCGAATCGTTTTCAAAACACTGCATACTTGTGGTTTATTGTCGAGATATCAGCTTCCAAGTTGTACATGCCACCGGCATTAGCGTTACCCGATGTACACTGCCGGGAGGTTGCTTGGTTGGACAATTTTGAAAACATAGGAAAACTGCAACTTTATGTTTCGGCAATGCCGTACCAGTAGTAGCATTATGAAAAACATGTTTATCTGTCCCCACGGTACACATTGGGTCACGCGAATGCCGGTGGCATGTTTAACTTGGAAGCTGATATCTCGACAATAAACCACAAGTATGCAGTGTTTTGAAAACGATTCGATGACAGCTACAAGAATCCATAATCAAAAATATACGTTTCCATTAAAAAACTTAAACATGACCTTTACAGGGCTTTTCAATGTCATTGTGAGGTCAAAAGAAATACCAGAACAATATGTTACCCTACAACTTTCGTCTGAAACATTTTTTTGTATCATTCGTAGTTTTCGAGATACTTCTGTGTTCTGAGATAAACCGGATATACTGTATACAGGGTGTATCAACTCGGTTGTTATTAAATATAAAAAAAATTGTGGAGGAAAGGTTTGCATAGTTTAACAAGCTGTATCATCCTGTAGTGCGGCATTTTACGGAAGTGCATCGGTGCAGTTGCAAAGTGCAATTACACTCGTTTTTTTGAGCACTACTTTATAATTTTTTTTTTTTTTGTATGAATCGATTTTTCGTGCCATTCTGAATAAAAAAAAGTATTAGTGTACAATCGTGAAAAACTCGATACTTTTCGAAATATTTTCCTCTTCTTCTAGCATCTACAGTAAATGTTTAAATGTTCCACTATTGCAATCTAAACATTCTCTTACACGTTTCTTTACACTTTTCATCACATTATTTAGTTTCTCCTCTACAATTTGTTTCTATTTTCAATAACAACAGAGTTATAACTCGGCCCAGTTACTAGATACATCCTGTATAACGTGACTAAACTGTAGCTGTATATTTTAAAGAAATTATAAATGTAATAATTAATTTAAGTTATAAATATTAAGTTTGTATGAAGTTTTTACTTTTGTATTCATACTTTACATAATTAATCATATTTCAATAGAAATTCTTACTTAAGTTTTAGTGTCACCATAAAATTATCTTTGTATTAAAATTTAAATAAATAAAATCAAGATACTACAATTAAATGTTACTATTCATTTGAAAATATACCGAATTTATTATATTTTTTTGGACATTACAGTCCAAACTGGAGCAACAGCTATATTTTACCAAATATTACTTGATGTTGCAATCCACATTTTGGCTCGTTTAGCTGAGAAAAATCTTTGGGTGATAGCACATATATTACTTAAAGATATTTACACAATACTAAACATAGAAAACATTTGTTCATACGAGTGTGATGCTGCAACTATTATGCTCTTAGCTGAGATATATCTGGCAAATCAACAGGCTGTGGAGGCTTATAGATTGCTTAAACGTGAGTTAATGGCTAATTGTTGTTGCATTATCCAACAAGATAGATATAATTTTAAGAATAATTATTTAAAATAAGAATGATAGTTAATTGCAATTATTTTCAAGTAATTTATGTTTTTCAGAAACCAATATCATTTATACCAATCCTAGTAAGTGGAAGGTAAAAAGTAATGTAAAAGATAACTCTATTAGAGCAAAAATAATAACGCTTTTATTAGATACATTTTGCAAATTGTTTCCAGAATATGCATTTTTCCTTTTTCAGTTTCTAATTGTAGATCAGTGTGGGAATTTTTATCCAATAGGTAAGAAGGTGAACTTTATATGAATGTATTGTAATTTTTATTAATAAATTTTATACTAGTCACATAAATGCACAACAAACATAAATGTTTAAATGTGTTATTTTTTTTAGATCTTGCGCATTTCGCAAACAAAATGATACCATTACTTCTGTTAAAAAAAGATCACGAGATGATTATACAGATTGGTAAACTAATTGATAAATATAATTTTACGATAAATGCAATTACATATCGTGCATTGATCGCTACATTAGTTCACATTGATATTGCTTTGGCTAAGCATTTATATCAAACTGCAATTTCTTTAGGTATATATTTTAAAGTACAGGTAGGTCAACAAATATGTAAATATTCATTTTTATTTTTAAAGAAAAATAAAGCTATAGTTCTTTATTCTTAAGAAGTGTTTATATTAATACACATATTATATTCACCATCTTTTGAGATTAGTTTCATCCAACAACATATCTCATTATAAATTCTGATTGGACAAATGAAGAAATATATCTTGCAATACTGAATTTAATAGAAGAACTTTCATCAAATATTGGACATGCAATTAATCACGTTAACCCAAATATACTTTCAGTATATCTTGTTTTTGAGGTAAGTTAGACTTGCTATAAATTGTTTTTATTACATTTTATTGTGTAATGCGATTTAAAGAAAGACAGAGTGCTTTTGTTAATAGCATTCATTATGAAAACTCATTAATTTAATTAACTCTTATACTTTTGCAGAATATTTCTTTTAAAGAACAATTTATTTATAATGAAAAGATAAATCTACAATACGACGTAAGAATTGCACAAAGTAAAATACAAGTTAAAAAAGTTTTACAAACACAGTTTAATCCACCCATTTTTTTAAGAAAAAACAGAGCAGGTAGAATATATAAGATAAGTAGTGCAAGTGTGTTAAGATATCTGAAAAGTAAATACTGTGAGTAATTTAGTTCTACATTTCGTTTTCATTGATTTCAATTAGAACAATCAAAAAATATACGACATTTAAATTTTGATGTTAATGTTTTACATTATATATCTGTTATAATATACATATTTTCTGTTTTTCTTCTTTTTGCTTTTTGTTAATTTTAACTTTCAGCCAAATGCACATTTCTGTGATTATTTTATATACAATTTATTAGAAATTCTAAAATGAGTTTAATAATTTTAATTTCAATATTTTTTGACAGATCAAAATAGGTTGTGCATAATAATAGCATATGTACACATGTAAATGTATGTATTCTTCCCTTTCAAATTATATAAAAATTTATAACGTAATATGGTGAATTAAACTTTTGCTATTTTTAATAACCTTTTCATGTTTTGCATCACTAAGTCCAACATTTGGATAAAGTGGACATTTTAATAAAATACTGAATTGCACGGTCATATTAATTCTTATATACTTGGAAAAAACGTACTTACAATTTATACAAAATAATTTTGTGTCAGCTAAATACTTAACATATTAATAAAAATTTGAAATTTTTAACTACTATTTTATAAAAGGTTGTTTGATTAATCAAACTCTGGTATGTCATCAAACGAGTAACCTGGCACCTTTTGATATGCTAAAATAGCTACTCTCATATGATAAGCCCCTGGTATAAACATTAGAATTCCTAAAATTATTACTGGCCACATACGATCTGAATACTGTAAAAGATAAAATGATTATTAAATATATATTATGTTAAATCGTTGTGAAATAATTAATGAAGAGATTGCCTCTTTTTCAAATATGACGAAATATAATAGTAATTGCATTATATATTTTTAACTTTCAATTATTGTAAATGTATTTTGAATAAATATTACCTTTGAATCAATATGTCCACTCACAATTAGGCTACCCATGATAAGCATAATGGTACCTCCAACAAAAAGAAGAGCTGCTAATGTTATGGCCTTCCATGGTATTTTTACAGGTGGATTAACAAACTGTTAAAAACAAATACATTTGATTACTAATGTCTACCTTTGTATTGTTTTTAATTTAATGTTGTAACATATCGATATTTTAACAAAACGCATTTACGATATCATAAAATAGGAGAATATCAAAAATCTACATGAAAAATAATATCTAACCTGGGAATCAACAAAGCCATTATCAGTTTCTGTAAGCTGTGTGTAATCCACGTTGTTAAATTGTCTATCACTGCCGAGTTTCCTTCTGGACATACTCACTTTGTGAATATAATCTATGAAAATGCATAAAATACATGCATTGCTTTTTGTAGGTAATTATATTCACTTTTCGCGTAAATAAAAATTGAGTTCAGTGTGAGGATTGCAGAAAAGATTTACAATAATTTTTGTACTGTAATTATCGACATTACCGACTTAAATTATCATAGCATTACACTTGTAAACTAGTCTTGCGCAGACAAGTTATGCTATTTCAATCGTTATCTTTGGTGATTCATTATATTCGATTATTTATTCTTTGTGAATCAAATTTATGAATTAAAATAATCTATAAACAAAGCACAATTACAATTGGCGAATCTTAACTAAATGAAATTTTCATCCTACCATGACAAAATTTTGAAAGATAAATCGTTCACTTTTTAACTTTATGTTCTCATAGATGTATGAGATCT